ATGAGGCTGACAGTTCTTATTCCACTCCCGGCTCACCAACTTGATCTCTTACCTTTGTTGTCGACCAGCCCAACCGGTGGTGTGTCGACGGGCAATATCAAGTTTATTCAGACACAAAGTTTCTGAATGATAAAGGAGTCATGACACGGACCCTTATACTAGAGAGGCGGGTCCTCACAGGAAGTCTCTCTACCATTCCAGAGATCCACAATATCTTCACCAGACACCGACTGGAGTGAACAACGCGTTTTTTGGGCCATTATAGTAAAGAGTTGGTCTGAGAGTTCTACACCTCTTACGTGGCTACTCTCAGATTACAGATTGATAGCCGGGATGCCCCCGCCAAATAGGCCCCACTTGAGAATGTCCAAGTACACGGCATTCAAGTCGATATCTCCCTGCCTGCCATCCGCCGGTATCTATACGGCGAGGATGTTGATGCCAACCGAACCCCTCTCACCGCCGAGTTCGACTATCGGTGACAAATTGTCAAAGACGGCCGATTCTTACATGAGCCATCGTTGAGAGAGACCGCTAAGAGGTGGATGGCCCTGCACTTGTCTGTTAATGGAGAGGGTGCCGACTGGGTAACAGAGCCGAAGGGAGCCATCAAGAAGGCTAACTAGACCTTCACGGCTAAGTTCTTATGGTTGATTGTCCGCCACTGCCTTTCCCCCACGACCACTGATAATATAGTCACATGGGATCGTGTAGTTCTAATGGCGGCGATGATAGACGGGTTTGAGGTGGACTTTGCTTGGCTTCTACAGGCGGTCATGCACGAGAGGGCTTTTAAGGTCACAACTACTTACCCTTTTCCGTGCATGATATTTTCCCTATGCAGGTCCGCAGGTGTGCCCATCTAGCATATTGATAAGCTCAAGACTCCGCTAGGCATTGTTGATATCGGCCTCAGCAAGGATGATGCCAATGAGTTGGCTCCACGCAGAGGGCCACGTCCAGAAAATCTGGCTGATACGGTAGTACAGGCTTGCACGGCTACGCAGGCTGCTTCTAACACCACTGACACTACCCCGGTCGAGTCTATCCGGGTAGTAGCAATGTCCCGAGCTCCTCTCGCTCAGCCCATTTCCCAGACCTGGTCCCGCTTGCTAGGGTCCAGAAACTAGAGGTACAGATGGCTATACTTCTGCATCACATTCAGCCTTGGATGCAGAGGTCTATTGCTGAGGCAGAAGAGCGCTTGGAGCAAAAAATGTTCCAGCACACTAAGCGGAAGATCGCTGAGGTTTATCAGCGCTTAGACGCTTTTGAGTTGCGGGTTCTAGCCCGGCCATCCCCTCAGGTGGACGTATCGACCCTACAAGCTTCGGTCAAGAGTCTTCGAGCGAACATTGATATAAACCTAGAGGCTAGAGTGCCTGAGTCTGAGGACCCTTTTTTCAGAGCTTGCTGAGGACACAGTTATGGCGACCTTATTCACCACTTCTGAGATTCCACCACCTCCCTCTTGAGAGCATACCAAGAAGCATAAGGGTTGAGAGGAGGATGAGGCTAGAGCACGGAAGAAGGAGCACCGTGATATGGAGGCTGCGAGGAGAGCATTACTTGCTGATGAGGAGGCGCGTCGGATTAGGGCTGTAAAGTCAGCTGCTGGGGCATCTAGATCCAGAGATGTGGCGATTACGGGAGGCACTGATGATAGTGCTTTTGCTGATAAGGACACTTCTGAGGGTATCTAGACTACAGAGGTAGTGGTTTTCAGGGAACCGGACCCACCAACTTGCTGATCGTCGGCGCTTTGCGCCCCAGATTAACTTCACCTACCACTCTCATATTTTAATTTTTTTATGCATTGGGGACAATTGAATGTCTTTTTGTTGGGGATGGGGTAAATGGAAAGTGAGTGCTAGGGTGAAGTCTGAGTATCCCACTTCAGTATCCTCTTTTGGGGTTTTCTTGCCTGTGTTCTTTTTCCCCAAGAGACTGATGATTTTTATTGTTGAACCGGCATGTCTATATCTTGTGTACATAGTTTAAATCTGAAGCATGATAGCTAAAATGATATCCTGATGAAATGAAAATGATGCATGACTAGGCATAGTAATTCATAAATGTGTGGCTCTAAGCATGACATAGATATACACCACTGCATGACCCTAAGTCTAAAATTCGAACTAGATGTCTGATAATATGGTAGAGTAATGAGATGTCAAGTGAGTGTGAGGAAGATTTGAATAGTCCACTATTCGTACTGAGCTAGAACTTTCCTGGTTAGTCCTGCTAAAAGTAAGTTGTAATAGACCATTAGGAAAGGATCATAGGCCCTTGTTCAGTATAGCCCATTTTTAGCCTAAATAAAAAAACTGAAAAAAATTAATCCTTATTTGATCCAAATGATTTGAGATTAAACTAGACCTTTCTTTTTCACCCCAACTGATCTTTTCTAGGAATAATGTGTTGGCCCTGGTCCCTCCTTGGACATGTCCACTTCAGCTTATGCCAAAAGCATAAGTTTAGGGTGGATAATGCAGTACACAACCTTTTTATGGCCCTGACCCAACTTTGGGTATTGTGTACTTTGACTCATGGCAAAACCATGAGTTGAGAGTGGCTATTATGAGGAATGCTCTGGAAAGTAGGGTTGAAAGAACAAAGAAAGAGAAAGAACAAAAGTAAAGTGACTCAAGAACCGATTGAAACAAAAGTGAAATAAAAAAATAATACAATAAATACAAGCAAGAGAAGAAGAGAGTCACTTACACAAATGAAGAAATAAGGGAAAATAGCAAGGTGAAAGCATATGAGAAATTGGGCGAAATAAAATGATAAAAAGTGGTATGTTTAGCCGATATGTCAAGGAGGGCAAAAAAGTCACTAAAGTATACCTAAATATACCGTACCTGACCCTGATCCTATGTTACAAGCTAAGAAAGTCCTATCGTGATTCTAAAAGTTGTATAGCAAACTTAAAGCAGTGACAATAAGGGTAAGCTTATGGCAATATGTATGAATGAGTTGTGAATTTGTTATGAGAGTGAGTGTTGAAAAGTAATCCTTATACTTAAACTGAAATCATTTTATGAAAAATGAGGATGTTGTTTTGAAGTGAGGACACTAGTTGCAATACCGAAAATATTAGCACCTCGGTGAGAAATTGAAGAGGATAGGTGTTAGTGCATGGTGAGTCTGTTTTATGGTATGATTCACATAATTCAAGCCTAACAGTGATAACATGTATAAATATGATGAGACTGATCAGGATTGATAGCCAAATGATTGCGAAAGCTAAAACATGGATACTATTGTACAAAGATTTTTGTAGTGTGTGTACAAAAGCCTTTTTGTATTGATTTTGATGTAAGTTTCCATTTATTTGCAGGAAATCTGTCTAAAGTTGAACGCAGAAGTTTTTGAGCTAGAAATGCAGAAAAGTTACCACCTACGGAGCCTGTGACGGTCCGTAGGTGGCGTCGTAGTGAAGATGCTGAAGGAAGATGTGGAAGTTTGACCAAGTGTGGAGTAACGAAGTGCATGACATACCGTCATAGCCATGACGGTCCGTCCTACTGGTTCATCGTGATGATTAGATAAGTAGTCCTAGTAACCAAATTCCAAAAGTTTAAGTGTTAACGGTATGTCATACCTGCCGCCGAGGGTAATGAAGAGAGCAGCACAAGAGTTTGCAAAGTATGGGACGATGGAGCCCATGCTGGCCCGTCATAACCGCGACTGTCCGTCACTAGGTCTGTCGACCCAACCGCGTTTTGATAGATTTTCAGCAATTAGAGTACTTTTTTTTATCATGTTTTTGTTTTTTATAGATAGTTGTAAAAACCTCATTTTTGGGGTTAGATTTTGGTTATTATACACTTTCATGTAAGATTCTTTGTTAGAAGATTATTTTGATTATTACAGTTTGGATTGTTACACTTTTCTTTGGAGTTGATTGTTGGTGATTTTGTCGATTAATCAAGTAATTTTTTGAATTTTAGTCTTTCTCATTGAAGTAAGTGCATGAATTCTTATATTATATATATGAATATTGTTATTATGACTATGGATAACTAAACTCTATAACTAGGGTTGTGGGAACAATAGGTGAATAATGAGGTAAAACCTAACTAACATATTAATTCTAGAAAAGTGTCTTGCATGTATTGATAATTCTTTCGTTTAGAATTCTTTTTAATGGATGGACAATGTTAGAACTCGCCTTAATGCTACTTGCCGGACAAAGGAGGTAGGTAATAGGAAAAGAATTATCAACATAGATTTAGTGTATACTATCTAATAGGCTAGTATAGATTGGTACGAGGTAATAACTTCTAGTCAAATATCGAATACAATGCTTAATATGAGGTAAAGGTAAGGGTTAAGTATAGCAACACACTTAGCCGGACCAAGGTGCGGAGTGAAATTTTCTAGATGCCGGACCAAGGATTTAGAAATACATAACTTATCACTTTGAATGCAAGATACTAGGAAAGAATTGTTATTGTTAGAATTATAAAGCTAGGAACTTGTGGGGAACATGTAAACCCTAGTTACTTTTATTAATTGATTAAACTCCAGTATTTGAATTTGCTAGGTGTCTACTTTAATTTAGTTAGTTATTTTCATTCATTTAGAAATAAAACCCCCTTTTATTGCCTTTGATTTTTATGGAAATAATTGACCAAATAATAGTAATAATAGATTGAAGTTACGTCTGAACTATTTTCCTCGTGGAAACGATCCCAACCTCATTAGTTGGGTTCTTTACTTGATATGACCACTTTACTTTTTATTTGAGAAGTAAGATTGAGCTTATCATCATCTATAATTCGTCGCACTCTAAATTCTATTAAAAACAACTTTCCTCTCAAAGCCCTAGCCTGCCCCCACATTAAAACCCTTCACGCACCGACGCCCGTCACGCCCATCCCGAACGCCCCCATCCCTTATCCTAATGACGTCTCAATCCGAACGTATTTTCTGCAAAAATAAATACATAAGGATATTTTTTCAATTACGAAATCAAATTTCAACAAAAAGGAGGGATGCAACACGAGGACTTCCCAGGGGGTTAACCATCCTAGTAATACTCTCGCCAAAGAACGCTTAACTTCGGAGATCTGATGAGATTCGGTGCGTTAGTGCTGGTATGATCACATCCATCATTCATTGCACTCTAAATTCTATTAAACACAATCTTCCTCCCAACGCCCTAGCACG